GTGTGTGTGTATATATAATTTTCTCAAAATCCATTTCTTTTATAACCATGCGTTCAAGCCAAGTTCCTTCCTATAAAAATGTTTAGACTTCTAGTTTTTAAAAATATTCCTGTTTAAAAAGATTTTTCTTCACGTGCACAGCTGACAGCATTAGTTCAGACGTGCACAGTTCACATTGACTGAAGGCCTTCGATCACGGTTTTACTCGTTCCTGTGCTCGTGTTGGGTTTTTGAGAATATTATCAAAACAAATCACTAATCAGATTTTAATAAACACATCCACTACAAAAATTATCTCTCAGCGTTGACCCAGTTCAAGATGGCTGCCACAGCCACTGTTTTAAAAAACACAAAAATGGCAAAAACTGTTAATTTTACAGAAATTAATCCAACATTGTGTGTGGCTAGTAGCTGAGACGGATCCCTAACAAACTCTGAGCGCTAATATCGGGCAAATCTTTGTTTCAAATTTAGACAATAACTAATTAGAATTCACAGTGTCTGTCTGTTAGTAAAATATCTGGTCAACCACTTGACACACATTGAAACCCATAGGATAGATGTTTGTCTACAACTGATTTGAAAATTTTAAAAATGGATGCCATAACTAAGAATGGCTGTAATGAGTTAAAATTATACACGTTATGCACGACATAGTGTGATTTTCCGTCAGATTGCTCCCAATGTGTTTGACCAAAACAAAGTTTGACATCAGATAATCTCAGTTTAAGACTCCTGCATGAAGGGAAGCTCTTCACGCAGTCCGACCTGAGCACGTGAACTATCAGAGTCTCCCTCTTCTCTCATTTGACGTGACGTTTGGTCGGAGGACTGAGCTGAACTCATATGGACCCTTGACGTTGAGTCCGATAATTCCCCCGGAGGAACGGCGCAGGCTGCACACCTCGCATAATAAAACACACGGTTTATTATCAATATGATAGAAATGAAATCACTGGACAATTAGAAGCATGTCTACCCATCATTATCATCATCATCAGTAGCAGCAGCACCATGACAACAGCTCTATAAGAACAAAAAATTAATCACTGGATGAGTCCTGACACCCCCCCCTCCCCCCCCACTGGCTCACAAAGGTCAAATCACAGATAAACAGGCTTAGCACCTATTTAAACAAGCATCCATTTAAATTATTATAAATGAATATTTACACACATACATGAACACTTTCCCTCTTCTTACTTTAAATAACCCGACAAGCTTGAGTCACACACAGAATGCTCATCACAAACAAAGTCAAATAAATAAATAACCATAAGTAAAATTTAAAAGAAAATTAAAAAACTCTCTGAAGCCACAAAGCTTTTTCTGTGTGAAGACAAACACAAGCGCGCACACTCATCCAGGCGCACAGACACGATGTTCGTCGCCGGCTGCTCACAGCGTCTCAGTCTCACAGGCGGGGGGGGGGGAGAGAAATGGATGTAACACCAGCATGTCCTCAGGGGGGATGAAAAGAACGTAACACAGATGAAAAATCCCTCTGTGCTCTCTGACACTGGCCCACGGGTGTCGTTCTCTCTCTCCCAAGCCGTCCCCGGCCTCCTCCACCTTTAGCCTTTGCGCGGCGGGCGTAAAGCTAGAAGAAGCCGTGTAGCGCCTCCGTCAGTGCCTCCCTCTCGGCTCTCCTTCATCAACTCCCCTTCTCTGCTCTCGCCTCATTTCCGCTGCTTCTCCTCTTTGTCGCCGGCCTTGCTGCCGGCGTCCCCGTGCCGGTTGTTGGGCGGGTTGCTGAGGAACATCTTGTCGAGTCCTTTGAGGGCCTCGGTGAGGTAGTTCTGCAGGGCGGTGAGGGCGGCGCAGATGGCGGGCGAGCCGAAGCCGTGCGTGATGAAGGAGAAGTGGGAGAGGCAGCTCTGGATGCCGGGCTCCAGGATGGGGCTGGGCCTCGAGTTGCCCAGGGGAGTCCTGTCCTGGGCCAGCAGGTCTGTGAACTCCTTACACAGCTGCCTGCAGGGGGGGGGGGGGGGGAGACACAACAAGACGTGAGGAGGAAGTCCGTCCATCTCTGTCAAGGGAGTTTACATGAAGGTTTCTGGATGTTCATCACTGCTTCTGTTAAATGAATGCGTGTGAGTTAGAGGGTTGTTTTCCTCTCAGAGAGGAGCGGACACCTCCGGGTCTGTGAGCTGGAAAGCCGAGGTCGTGTTGCCCTCGTCTCTGTCTGATAAGCGTGTGTTATAAAACACTTCCTGCCTCACTGTCCCGCGCAGATTCTCACTGACGAGGCTCTAAGTAACTTTATACATCTGAGAGAGCCTGTGTTCATGATCGACTGCCCTTGCAGGTAAAATCTTCTCATGTCCGCAGAGTGGCTTATTTTGTTTAAGGATATTTATTTAGCCAATATTTTCCTCTAAAAAATGTTTGCAAAAGGCTGATTTAAGAATAACAAACTGTAATGCAGATCACCCCACCGCCCCTGACACTTATTTTAGTCTCACTTTTGAGAAACGATGCAATCACAGAGCAATCTGTGATTGAAGTACCGTAATTTTCGCTGTATAAGTCACAGTTTTTTTTTGCATAAATTAGCATGCCTGCGACTTATACAGCGAAGCGACATATTTATGTTTTTGTTCCCATATTTATAACTCAATTTTTGCCTGAGATCTGACAATTTCATTCATTCTGACATGGAAAATATTGCACACTACCATTTTCAGCCACTAGAGGGCCCTCGACTAATATGGCAAGCCAAGTGTCTCATTAATAGGTAAAAGTGGCTATTAATGAGACACTTGGCTTGCCATATTAAGCCACCTTTTTCTCGCTCCAGAACTCGTGGAGCAAACGTCAAATCAGCTGCATTTCTCCTCGCCGCCCAGGAGAAATGCAGCTGATTTGACCATTAAAGTTAATTTATTAAGGAAAAGTTCAACTGAGACACATTTTTATTATAATGTCAAGCAAACAAATAATCGTTTTTAAGTGTTAATCTTGTTAAAGTCCTCCAGTGCACGCTACTGCAGCCGCCATTTGGCAGCCAATCGGTTTTTGGCACAACACCAGCCCACACTTTCGGGTTGTCAGCGGTGATGCATAATAGATGCGACTTATACGGCGAAGCGACGCATTTATGATTTTTTTCCACTTTATTAGACACATATGAACTGATGCGACGGTGCGACGTTTACAGCAGCAAGTAGGGTATATGTTTTGAATGACTGTCAGCTACTACCACACCAAAACTCATCTCAATCGATGTGAAATTCTTTGAGTTGTAACTATTTTGATGTTTCCAAATGCCAATAATTCGTGGAAGCCATCTTGGATTAGGATGACTCCAAACGTTAATCAGTTTTCGATGAACAGCCAACGATTCTTTCAGAGTTTCATGTAAATTTGTCATCTGGGTTAAAGTGATATTTTGCTAACAATCAAATGCAACTGACTTCCAACAAGTAATGCCACTGTTTTAAATAAAGGTGCGCTCAAAGTTTGTGCTATACCACATGTTAGCTATAAAGCTGCTAAATTAGCTTGATATTTGACATATTTGTGTTTTTAAGGTCAGGAAGCTGGGGCGGCCATCTTGAATTATCAGCTGTAGACTTCAGTCTAATCACTAGTTTAATTGAGATCCATGGTTCGGGAGATATTTCGCTTACAAAAAGCATGAGTTGATTCCAAAAGTTAATAACAAAGTTTTAAATAAAGATCTTGATTTGTTTGAGTGCTCAGAGTAGGTGTTGGGGATCAGTCTCAGCTACTACCACACCAGATTTTAGCTCAGCATCTGTAAAACCAGCTTATAGGCATTTATGTTTTTGTAAAGATCGTTTTGCTGTGGCAAAGGTCGATCAATGATTAATAACTGAATGATCACCATCTGAAAGTTTTGATAAAATAGTTCTGTGGTTCATTTTACTAACAGAACAGGTGAGTTTGCTGGAATAATAACTGGTTTATTCATTCTTTCCTTGAAAATCTGATTAAAACATTTATTAATTGTTGTGTTTTATGTTAATCATTCAGAACTGGCAACATATTTTAACTCTAAAACTTCACTCACGTCTATAATTCATATTTAAATGGTGCACTTCCAATAAAACAAGTCTACTTACTTAAAGTGGGCCACGCTGTTAACCCAGTCCAGAGATGATTCACTCGTTGTTTTAAATTACGGCACTCAATCTCTCTCGTATAAATTATGTAATCCTGACACGAAAAGCTGTGTAGTTTTAAATCAGCTCTTTCAACATCATCCTGAGACACTTGGGAGAGGAGAACCAGGTGAGGACGAACAGTATTAGAGCATTAGATGATGGTATTTTTACTTTTTCAACTGAATATGACTTTTAATGAAAATATATTAATGACACGGCGTTATTAGGTCAGTTTTATTCTACTGTTTAGTCTTATCCAACGTTTTCTTTCTTCTACCGGTTTACTTTATTTTGTTTAGAGTTACAGGAAGACAGGTAAATTAAGAATTGATTTGTGCTGTAGGACATTGTCTCTTGTATGAGAATAAACTAACTTAGATGTTAAAAACAAGAAAAAAGGAACAGGAACTATTCCTTTTTTAACTTGTGACGAGTGTAAATGAAGATCTTTAATGGACAAATGCAATATCATTTTAGACCAGGTGTATTATAAATCTAAAGCTAATTTCTTTAAACTAGTCGACCCAAACATTTCACTTGCTGTTATAAAATATGTATTTATTTTGCACACAATGCTTTTAAAAGGTAGCACAGACCTACAAACCCACATTTTAAAGCCAGAACTGATACAAACAAACAAAGGTGCCGGTGTCAGGCTTTACAGAGCGCAGGTCAACCCAGAGAGCTTAGATAACAACAAAAATGTTTAATAATAATAAAAACAATCCAAAACAAATAAAAACACAAATGAACAAACAAGAGTCGGGGAAACACGGAGAGAAAGCTGACGCGTAACGCAACGGTGGACTGTGGGATGATGGGGAAAAGGAGCGGTGCTGATGAGACATCTGAGCAAAACGACAACAGAGAGCAGGTGTGAGAGGAAGGGGCGGGGCTAAGGAGCAGAGGCTGACAGTGGAAAAGTACTGAGGAGATGAGCTGAACGCAAAAATACAATGAAAAAACAAGGATTGATCTGACAAGAGTCCAAAACAAAACGAGGTGAATAATAAAACTGGATCCAACATTTTTCAGTCAGGTCATCTGGACAGTTTCTTTTTTTGTGCTAAAACGTTTCGCCTTCGATCCAGAAGGCTTCATCAGGAAGAGGGCCGGCAATGGAGGAGGCGGCATGGCAAAGAGACCAACTTATCACCAACATAACTGGTTTGTTCCACTTTGGAGTAAGCTGTTGGGGGAAGAATCAGTTTTGTTGTGTGTTTCCTTCACTGATGAAGCCTTCTGGATTGAAGGTGAAACGTTTCAGCACAAAAAAAAGAAACTGTCCAGATGACCTGACTGAAAAGTGTTGGATTGTACACCTGGATTATTGAGCATGGACTTTGTTAATAAAACTGGATCTGACACCAGTCAGACTGAAAGCACCAAACACATTTTTTTTTAGAAAGGGGCAAGCAATCTATCACAATTATGTTTTTAAATTTTATATTTTCAATAGTTATTTTTAAAATATGACTCTCGGACATGTTTCTATAAGTTTTTCTATTAATCTCAGAAAATCATAAATGTTTTTATTTTTGCTTGCCTTTTGTTAAATGTTTTAATTATACTTGTTGTTTTTTGTGTTTTGCAGAATATTTAATCCTCTGGTAGAGTTTTGAAACAATCCGAGGGTTTGACCTGAAGAACAAGACGGTGAACCCCCTGACCCCCATGTTGGCGTAGAGGCGAGAATTTTGCACGTGAATTATAAAATATATCATGTAAGAGCATTAGTGGGTGTGAATGCACAACCTGGAGAAGCATAAAAGAATATGAGTAGGAACCATTTACCAGATTATAGAAAAAATCATTTAAATCCGCACCCCCCAACTCCAAACATTTGATATTCTTTCATAAATATGCGTTTAAAACATCAAATTAAGAGGATTTTAGTGGTGAAGAACACGTTGTATTGTCTTTGTTTTATTTGTTTTTTCGTACTTTAAGAAAGAAAATCGTTTTTAATAGTCTCATCTTAAAGCCATCTGTTTTTATTTTATTATATTTTATTTGTAGTCTTTGTTTTAATTATTTTTAGTATTTCTTTGTACTTTGCTGTTATTTTTATATTCTGCGACTCCTTGTGTTGAAACTCTGGCACAAAAATTTCCTGCGGGATTAATAAAAGTTCTTATCTTACCTCAATTAATTATTCGGACCGTTTTATTCACTTCTTCTGTTTTATGCACAGATGTTGTTAAAAAATGTAAAAAGAAGAAGACAAATCATTTTTTAAATACACAAATGTAAATAATGGGATTGTTGCCAAGGTGTCATGGTCGCCCTGGCATTAGTTTTAAGGCTTCCACATGAATAGCAAGTTTTTTAAAAGTCACAAGCTTCATTTTTGTCCACAAATATCCTAAAATCCAAAGATTTAAAAATAAGCTTTTCACTCCTTTCTCCATTTACGTTGCAGCAAAATGCCTCTGTGGCGTCGGCCCCTCTTTTAAATTCAGAGCCGACGCACACACAGACCGAAGGCGGCCTAAGGGCAGAGTTAAATGAGTGACAGGCCGTGCAGGCCGAGCCCAGCTGGGGTTAGGGGAGTGTGGAGAGGAGAAGCCTCCACCACCACCACCACCACCCCACCACCCCCCGGGCTGCACTCCCGGCGCTCGCTGTTGTTTTCTGACGACTTGAAACACTCCACAGCTAAAAAAAAAAACGAATTTCTAACAGGCAGCGCCGACACACACCGCTGGAACAGGTTTGAATGTGGGCATCAAACACACACACATGCGCACGTTCTTGTAAACATGCTTTTTGGGGACTTTGCATTGACTTCTATTCATTTTCTATAGCCTAACCCTGACCCTAACCCCCCAATGAGACTTACCCTTATGGGGACTTGGCTCAGGTCCCCACTAGGTAACCCATTGGTGCAGTCTGCGTGATACCAACTAGAAAAGCTTAAGAATTTCAGTAGAGTCACTAAAAGGTGCCCAGTGATTCATGACATATCATTAGACACGTGTCGTTGAAACGTTAAACGGCAGTTAAACGCTTCCGTAACAATCATTCTGTGAGCAGCGCTTTCCTTTGATGCTGTTTTATAAATTCTGCAACATGTTTTTGATACAAAGTCAACTTGTACAAAATTTGTTGTTCATTTATTCAAACATAAGCATCAGAGAAATTTGGAAATGTTCAACGCGCTTAAAAATCAAAATAAATTGACGATTACATTGTACTAACCAGTGTTCTTTGGTTTCTAAGCCCAGTATACCCAGTACAAAAATGTACACTACACCACTGCCTGACACAAAAACGTGCACACACACACACACACAGCACTGTTTATGCTTAAAAGGTAATTTTCCTGAAGAGATCTTGTTTATTTGAAATGAACAACTGGACGATGTTATTAATTAGAAGAGAAAGATGTGGTTGATTATGAAAATTTCATCGATTTGAACAATTTGTCTCCAAATCGCCATTAAAAACTAAATAAACACAAAATTATGGTTTATTCTACAGTTTAACAGCCATAAAGATTTTTTTTATATAAGATAAAATGATAAAAATATATATATTTGTGTCCAGAAGCATCAACTTACAGCTCTCGTTGTATTCCAGATGTTATTTTAGGATAATTTATAAAAAAACATCTAAATGTAGTTGTTATTTCTTCAGCCATGATCTGAATAATAAAGTCTTTCCAGAATTTTACTGCCATAGTTTTAAATCCGTCATTAAAGGCCGAGTTCACGCAGAGTTAAACGGGTTTTTATTAAGAAAATCCAAATGTCACCGTCGTGTTCACAGACTGGGAATAAAATCTAACCCAGGAGGCTCTAAAGGAGCTGCGCCCTCTGGGGTTGGGGGGGGGGGGGGGGGGGGG